GAATCATGAGTTCCGAATTTACCTGATAGTGTTACTGAAACATGATAGCTGGACTGACCTGAGAGCTGGACTGACTTGAGATCCGGACTGGACATTAGAGCTTTTTTGACCTGAGATCCGGACTGTAACATGAGAGCTGGACTGACCTAAAAGTGTTACTGTAACATGAGAGCTGGACTGACCTGAGAGCTGGACTGACCTGAAAGCGGGACTGAAACATGAGAGCTGGGCTGACCTGAGAGCTGGACTGACCTGAGAGCCGGACTGACCTGAAAGTGGAACTGAAACATGGGAGCTGGACTGACCTGAGAGTGTTACTGTAACATGAGAGCTGGATTGACCTGAGAGCCGGACTGAAACATGAGAGCTGGACTGACCTGAAAGCTGGACTGACTTGAGATCCGGACTGGACATTAGAGCTTTTTGACCTGAGATCCGGACTGTAACATGAGAGCTGGACTGACCTGATAGTGTTACTGTAACATGGGAGCAAGACTGAAACATGTGGGCTGAACTTACCTGAAAGTGGGACTGAAACATGAGAGCTGGACTGACCTGAGAGCCGGACTGACCTAAAAGCGGGACTGAAACATGAGAGCTGGACTGACCTGAGAGCCGGACTGACCTGAAAGTGGGACTGAAACATGATAGCTGGACTGACCTGAGAGCCGGACTGACCTGAAAGCGGGACTGAAACATGGGAGCTGGACTGACCTGAGAGCTGGACTGACCTGAAAGCGGGACTGAAACATGAGAGCTGGGCTGACCTGAGAGCTGGACTGACCTGAGAGCCGGACTGACCTGAAAGCGGGACTGAAACATGAGAGCTGGACTGACCTGAGAGCCGGACTGACCTGAAAGCGGGACTGAAACATGATAGCTGGACTGACCTGAAAGCCGGACTGACTTGAGATCCGGACTGGACATTAGAGCTTTTTGACCTGAGATCCGGACTGTAACATGAGAGCTGGACGGACCTGATAGTGTTACTGTAACATGGGAGCAAGACTGAAACATGTGGGCTGAACTTACCTGAAAGTGGGACTGAAACATGAGAGCTGAACTGACCTGAGAGCCGGAATTTTTTTTAATTTACTCAATATTTTCTTACCAATTTAGATTCACCGTTTAAGATTTTACAGTTATTAATCTAATATAAATCATCAGATAAACATTTTTTTATCATCTAGATTTGAAAAATATGATATGTTATTATATCAAATATCAACAGATAGAAACTAACCCTAGTATTAATTACACACAAATTTAGATGTGTAGCATAGATTATATTTGTATGAACAATAGTGATCAAAACGAGTTGTAAAATATCATGATAAAAAAATTTTTTTTAAAAACCCACCCCAGTTGGATTGCTTACCTGATTAGCTGTAGGTTATTGTCTGCGATCCAACGAAGTCGGACTCACCACATCTTGAATGTTAAACGATTTTCGCTTGAATTAACGGACTTGCTGGACATTCCAACACAGATTTCGTATTTACATTTTTTACATACGAAAAAGTACCGGCATGTGACTTGGAACTGTATTATTCAATTACCGATTTTCGTGGGTAAAGTGAGATTTCTAGACACTGAAACTGGAATTTCAAACATTCCCGAAACGTGACCTCCAAGACTTATCAAAAATCCTTATCCCCAACTAAATTTTTGTTTTAACCACCCATTAAGTTAACAGGAGTGACCTCTGCATAACCGAGTCTCACAAGCCCCCGAGTTTCAAGATAGCGAGTTTCATTGGCAGCCAGTGTTAGTATAATACCACAACTAATTGATAATTTACAGTGTTACCTTACATCTTCTTTGATTTTCTTTTCTTAAATAATTAACATGTTTATGTTCAAAATAATAACATAAGTTATAAAAAAATTAATAATTACCTAATAGCTAATTTAACATGTATTGTATATAATAATATACTTTTTAAATACCATGGTATTATCTAATTATTAAACTATTAGTAAATTAAAATACATCATACAGTTTATAGATTTAATCGTTTGAGTGTAATTATTTTTTATAGATTTATACTCATAATTTTATTTTTAGGTAAAATTGATGTATGTTTTTCAATTTCTTATTACATACTTTATTAAACGTAATAATAAATCGCAGAAAAACAACAATAACACGAATAGTTCAGAATATTATTGTTGTTCACAGAGAAAAAATTATGTCCGCTGGCATTTACTCGTATAATCGTATTATACCATAGTGATACTAGTATACTACCGTATTGAAGTAGTATAATATATAAAATATGATAAATTATAATTTACAATAAATAAACGTCGAGGCGACGAGTGATGGACGCCCGTTGACGAGCATGGTCGCGATTAAACAATGATATATGTATTGACAGTGCGCATTACAACAATATGTACTTACGCATTATACGTGAGATCCGCACAATATATTACACAAATACAAATTATTCTCAATTTTTTCACGCTTTTTATTACTATTATTATTATTTCCACTATGCACTGCTCGCCACTGCATAATAATATTATTGTAAACATTATATTTTGTAAAGAGAAGATTGTGTTTTTATACGGGCGACCCCCGCAATCATTATAATATTATCAATAATTATCATAATTCAACATACTATTATTTTATATACAGGCAATAGTTGCTTTGGTACCTACGACTTCTGACCAATGCGCCATGATTTAAATTTTTAAACACCTTACAGCCAACGGGTTTTTACTTTCTCCCAAGTGAAAAGCCACGTTGTGGTTTATTTAAACGCTATTTAAACGAAGTAAAATAATTTAAAACAAACGTAAATGAATTACAATATGCAAGAAAAATTACGAAAATCAATTAAAATTATTTTTGATTCTGAAATAATATTATTATTTGACATTTATAACTGAAATACCTGTCACAATGTTATACGCTTGTCACCACTCACCACATACAGCGTATAATATATTATTTTAAGCATCAAGTTTATTTATAAACAGTTTCCAACATTAATGTTATACCTTATACCTACACAACTTATTTAGGTATAACACTATAATATAACGAATAAAAATATGTATTTATACCATTGTCCATCACGTCTTATTAGTTATTAGCAGGGCTCGTGAGTTCATGCATTTCCGTATCCATCTTGCTTAGTTGTATTTAATGTTAGGTGACATAAAAATCCATTTCAAGATACATACCGCCGTTGAGTAGGTCATATAGTTCACATTGTGAACTTTTATTTTGCATATTTTTGCATATTTAGTAGTTTTTATACTATTTGGCATATTTATGCGTTTTATATTTTATTGTGCCTATTTAGAGTATTTTTACCAAAATTTGATGAAAATGCAATAATTTATCCTTTTGCACAGTATAAAATATATAGGAATTTTCACAACGTAAAATTATTAAAAATAAAATGTATATAGTCCGTAACCCTCGTTAAGCAATTAGTGGAAAACATGTTATATGAATATGAAATAGTCTCTTCTTGATACTTATACAGTGGCTTGTTCTCGACTATTTCAGTTGTTCTTGTGACGTATGTGCGTGGACGTAAATTCAGTTTAACAATTTCTGAACTTCATAGGCATATTTTGCCAGTTTTTAGTGCATAAGTGCATACTTATTTCACCATTTTTTGGGCATGAACTCACGAGCTCTGGTTATTGGTTTATTCTAGTTATTACTTATGAATTATGATCGTTATTATAGTCTGATTTTAAGATTTAATTACCCGCAACTCCCATATTTAAGCCGTATTTCCGTCGGGCCACGGGAGGCTAAGACAAGTCGGACGATTCAACAGTTGTTTAATGGAGTGAGGCAATTAAAAATTGGTAAATCTGAAGTATTAAATAAAAATATTACTGAACTACCGTAATAAACTTATAATAAATATTTTGAACTTCTGTCAACGGATAGTAAGAACTTTTTCGTAACGTTCAAATTATGCGTTAGATCAAAAATGTATTCTACTGCCATAAAAAGAAGTTCAAATTTTAAAAAACAAATAACTTTAAGTAGAATTCATAATTATTAAGGGATTAGGGGCGAGCTTCATTTGTATTTTTTTTAACCAAATACTTACTTCATAGAGTACGAGATTATACGTTTCAAACAATTATGATTGGAATGCCTATCAAAGCCAATAACGTAAAAAATATAATTATTACATTAATAATTTTACACTGATAGGTACTTTCTTGATTTAGTGAACATTTTTTTAACTTTATATTTTAATTTATATAACAATAATTTCTTCAAATTTGGCTCTGGGTTAATAATATAATAGTTATATTAATAATTATTAATACTTAAAGTTAATTTAGTTTATGTCTTTTTTTATATTTTTTAATTATAAGTGCTCGTTTTTGGATATTTTAGAGTATTTGACAATTAGGTAATTAATAAAAAAAATAACATTATTTGTAACACCCTATTTTTTAAAAGAAATAGTAATATAATGTGATAAAAATAATGTTGGGTAACCCAAATGTTATTTAAAAATATATTTTATGTTGCAAGTAACGTAATTTTATTACTTTTTAAAAGTAGGCCCAATTTACCCAACACTGGCAGTAGTACCTAGTACGGAGATAGATACTATATTATTTTAATTTAATGATATTAACATATATATACAGAGCGATTTGTTTGTTATAACTTATAATGCTGTAATAAATAATAACAATATTGATATTATTCTTTATTAAACTATATGTAGGTAGACAAATAAGTGACTTAAGTGCAGTGGCGACCGGTCGTTGGCCAATATAGGCATTAAGCTATTTTTTTTTAATAACACGTGTTTAGATGTTTAGAATACTGAATTGCTGAAGCCATTCAAAAAATGACACTGTTTAAACACTGGTAGCCTGATACAAACGCATGTATGTGAAATGAAAGTTGAGTAACGTTTTGGTGATACACTAAAAATAACATTTAATAATGTAATACCTCAATACCTGTTAAATTCAAATTAAAAATATTTGAAGATAATTTAATTTACATACATTTATTATAAATACTAATTAACCTTAGATTAGATACAGATTTTCTAATATTTATCAATAAATAACCAGTGACGAATTCAAAAATGCAAAGGGGGCGAATTTTAACAGTTTTGGGAGTGGCAATTTTTTATTGAGTATATGTATTATTATTTTTTTCTTTATCATTCACATTGATTTACATGTATTTCATAACACTTTTTGATTATCAATGCATTTTTTTTGTCGTGCACAATTATTGTGTTTGGAAACTGCCTTCATGTCTATATTATGGGGTGATCTGCTTATTGAACGTTTTAGTTTATGTAGCAAAATATTACAACATGGATGATAAAGATATTGATATAGATTTGCTACAAATTGCTGAGATATATCAATCATTTATTTTTTATGTAAATTACTTACGAACAAATAGTGAATATGAATGCTACAAAAAGATTAGGAATTGAAAAGTGTGGAATTGAAGACTTTGTTAGTACAAAGGAACGAATTAAGAAAAGAAAAGAACATTTATCGATGACGGTCGAGCTTCAGATGGTGGCAATGCAATTGATTTCAAACTTTTAAAGTCACAACTTATAGGGCTATATTCACTAAAATTCAGGTTGAGCTCATAAAAATAAAAAATAAATATGATAAATTAAAAAAGAAATACCAGCTTTCATTTTGTATTACGGCAATGACTTTTGGGGAAGTAAGAGAAATTTTCCGCATAAGTGGAACGGTTAAACTCTTTAGCCATACTCAATTAGAGTCAAAGTTAACAAATGAACTCCAATATGGCGACATTATTGACGAATTTGCCCACCAACAGGTAAGAAAAAAATTGTAATTAAACCGTATAAGGTCTGAGGTAGTAAAGAGTAGTGACACGTTGGGGGGGGGGCAATCAAATTATTCCGCCCCAGGAGCCATGTATTCTAAATACGCCACTGTATATTATACAACTCATATAATCGTATATACTCTACAGCAGAGGTATTCAAACTTTTTCATCACACGGCTTCTTTAAATCTTCACAAAATGTTGACGGCTCCCAAATTATAAATGACAAAAAAATCAATGTTTATATATTATATGAATGTATATTTTGTAATTTATTTTTATTATTTATTTACCATATAACATAAATAAAAAAATTAAAGCTAAATTTAGCGAATGATTGTAGACAATTCAACGTTTCCCAACCGGTGTGCCTCAATGATAATAGTAAACATTTTTCGTACAAATATTTATTGGTTTTCAATATTATACTACGCGGCTCCCTTCGACAACTCCGGCGACGCCCCTGGGAGCCGCGACGCACAGTTAGAATACCTCTGCTCTACAGATTAATTAAATGCAGTAACATGATCTTTCAAATAAATATTGTACAGGTATCTTATACATTATACATTATACATTATACATTATACTTATACATTTTTATAGTATACAATGATTAATTTTTACTCCATTATTTTTTTGTCTGCTGAATGAATTGATTGAACTAGAACATATTTTAAAACTTTTTATATAATATAGACTTATGCTTAAGAAATATCGATTTTGGTGCCATTCAATGTGTATGAAGCGTTTTCTCTGAACGACCGATCCGCAACATTACAGAAATTTCCAATGTCCGCCATCGCGGCTACGACGAAGTCTTCAATCTGACACTCGTTGGTTCCTCTTAGTATCCGGAAGTATCCGTTTTCACCCCACCAAAGTCCCCACGAATTTGAAACAATCTATATAATAACAACAAGGAAAACTTTTACTGGTAAATGGTAACACATTTTTGACTGTTGTATTTTTGTACAATATACATGTAACGTGATGTTTTTCTAAGGCACTGTAATGATTTTTTTGGTACATTTATGTTTTGTGCAGTTACATTTTTTTCAAAAACAAAACTAAAATATACCGCCAAAATATTGCTTTAATATGACAATATTTTGTAGGCCAATAAAATGTATGTATTAGGTATTATCACATAAAATATGTATAATTATTTTCGTACACTCACGTGATACACGATAATCCAGATATTATCATAATTTTGTACCAATTTGACTACCATTTAAGTTCATCGTATATCAATATATATGTACCTACCCAATATTTAACTGTTTTGCCATTCTGTTGCTCTTCGCCCCAACCAACAATTCGTACAGTATGGTATCCTGTATTAGATCCTAAAGCCAATTTTGAACACTTGTACACGCCCGATTCGTACAAGAAAAATTCTTTGGACACTTTCATCATGGCTATAAACATATAAATACATAATAATAACATATTACTGTTAACTTTAAACGTACAGTGTACAAGTAACGTGTATATACGACTAAACGAGTTCTAGAAAGCGTACGAGTGCGTAGATTCCCGATACAATAATTTAAAACACACAATAGAGTATGACTCGGTAGTCGGTACAATCAATTACAGAACACACCTTGGACTGATCCCCAATTCATGATCTCATACATGATACCCTCTTCTGTGGCCACTCTGTACATCAGACCAACTCGTCTTAGTTGAGAAGTTTTGCCCGTACGCGGACATGACACGATTAAGTTATTGTTATTTCTCTGGTTGGACACCACACAACCCGTCGCCCTACCATCCCACGGGTAACATTCTTCTGTGACGAGTCTGCAAAACATATATTTGAAATAAATATAAATTTAGTCTCAAATTGTAAACTTTTTTTTCCACTCACCCAAATTTCCTAATCCAATTCCAGGCACTGGTCAAATGGCCGCCTTGACAACCTCGTTGTAGGTCAAGATTGTTACAGGACAACAGATGTTTTGGTGACAGCGCCTCACTCATCAGTCCTTTGGTCATTATAACAAAACGGTCGGTGGTCACTTGAGCAGTGCTAATGGCCCAAGACGCGCCACACCAACCCTGATCGATAGGATCGGTAATGTTATTACCGAAAACTTTCCGGAGATCGAAAGATGACTTAAGATGATCCCGATGAAACACAGCTTTCAGAGGTACAATTTGTAAAATCTAAATAAAAAAAAACATTTAAAATTACAATACAAAAATAATATTAAAATAAAAACTCAAACGTACGATGATATTATATTATATTGCTTAAGTACTTACCCTCATCGTAATTTACAATACAACAAAATAACATTTCGAGTATACTTATAACATAATATTGTATATAGTTATAAAAAAGATTAGTAATTAAATAGTAGGTATGCGTTTTCTAAATATTTTGCCGCCATGTAATTATTTTTAAAATGTTGAACAAAAAGTTTAAAAGTTTTTTTTTAATATAATATTTATTTGTATAATAATAATATGTATTTACTGCAGTCGAATTTAAAATTTAAATGAAAATATATAATATTTATAATTTATACACTGGACGATCCATTTATTGTAGAGCACTCATTATTTCCTTAACTTAAAACTAGTAACGTTTATGAAAATATTTGTTTTGCATAACTAGTCTTAAGTCGTTAAAAAAAAATATTTTTAGTTATCTATCATTATTTAATTTTATAATGATAACATACATTTTCAATGTATTATTCCAATGCAGAATATTTGAGGTGCTTTGATTTATAAAAATCGAATTTTCGATAATATATTTTATGAGTAGGTAACTTACGTGTATTTAAAGTTTAGATTTTCGGAGCAGTACAGAGGGTAGTGGGTACCAAATGTTGGTCCACTACTCCGTTCATTTAAACCACGATTATCTACTAATAGATAACATGCGACCTAAACTTTAAACACTTATAATAATTCTAATAAACTACCTATCCAAAATTTGATTTTTATAGATTTTAATATTCTACTTTGGAATATGAAGAAAAAATGTATTATTTAATCATTCAAAAGAACAAAAATGATAACATTATGTAAACAAAATATTTCCAAAAACGTTAGAGTTTTCTGGAATCGCGGAAAAAATGCCCACGGAAAAAAAACCCACGGAAAAAAAACCCACCGAAAAAAAGCCCATGGAAAAAAACCCATAGAAAAGAAATCACCAAGGAAAAAAAGCCCATGGAAAAAAAACCCACAGAAAAAAAGCCCTCCAAAAAAATTTTAATTAAAAATAAATGTTAATACATCTATATTTAATATAATTATTATATATTTTTTTATTTAATCTAGTTTATACAATCTGTAAATAGAAAAAAAAATACGATAAGCATTAACTTTATGTATACTATAATTTTTGCGACTATTGCGATTATTATTATGATTATGTTTTATTATCTGTAATGTTGTGATGATATCATCACTTATGACATTTGTTAATTATTATATTTATAGTTTGAATCACGGATATAGATACTAGTATCTATATCCGTGGTTTGAATATTATGTACTGTTTTATCACAAAATAAAATAACTATGTATATGGTATTTGAGTTAATCAACAAAATAATATAAAACACACTTTTATTTTCGTGGGTTTTTTTTCCGTGGGTTTTTTTAATTTTTGGGTTTTTTTTCCATTGGATTTTTTTTTTGGGTTTTTTTTCTGTGGGTTTTTTGTCCGTGGTCATTTTTTCCGCTTACCAGTTTTCTGAAATCATGAGAGTCTTACATTGAATAGATCACTCCATATAGTAGGTAGCAACTATATTTAAGTATATTAAACTATCGTCTAATATTCTATTCTGCTTAGCAAATATAGGTATTTCTCGAGTCTAGATAACTTATGAAAATAATAGTTATACATACTTAAATACTTAAGTATATAAAATTATATTATTTAAATATTTGATATTAGCATAATATGTTTGATTAATATTTAAAAATAATTATTACATTACAGTCGTCTAAATATATATATTTTTAACGTATTCATACATTTCCCATAAATGAAATTCAACTTCCATTTGAAAACTCAGTTTTTCTGCCTGGGTTATTTATTATTATACATGTGGGCGATTACTTAAACATTATGTATAGTCATTAAATGTCATACCAACACAAAAAAAGTTTTTTCATACACGAATATCAATGTTCAACACACCTGTTCCGGCGATTGCAGTGTACCTAACCGCCACTTAAGTCCATCGTCATATGTCCTGCCCCAAAATTCACTGTAATTTTTGGCAGACCATCCAAATTGACGACTTTGGTTTCTAATCGTGTCCAACAGTAAGGGATCGATAAGACATTCGTTGTGGTTACATATCATCGTTGGATTTCCATCGGTTTTCCGACATCGGCTAAGATAAATAATATTTTAAACAGTATTACAGAAAATACTTAGAGACTTGTGTATAAATGTCATATATATGATTTGTGAGTTCGACAACTTTCTTTTTATTTTAAAACATTTCGGTATATTTGACCATGACACCATGTTGGTTAAGGTGGTACCTAGGTAGGTAATATTTATAAAAATAAACTCACCATTCGTTGCAATTTATATTCATCACTTCTCCGAGACTACAATTCGGTTTGTCAGAGTATTTTGCTGGAGATAATACAAAAATAAAATTATATGATTTTAGTTAAAATATAATATACAACAAACGTCATAAATTCCTGATTTATAATAATTAAGGCGTCTCTTGACTAAGATATTTTTAGCTTTCTAGTGGAATTTCCTGGAATAGTTTGTGGGGAGGGGGACATTTCGAATATAAAAAGATTTTTGCAGTGAATCGTAAGTTAATTATGAAATATAATATAATATTGATGTGACAGTCTTTTGAATATGATAAATTAGGAAATTTTAGTCGTTGTGTAAATTGAGGTTAAATATATGTCATTGGCATACAGCATCATAACTCATAAATCAGAATCATAAACTAATAGCTTGAAATTCTCCCATTGGACAAATGTTAACCCCAGATTTGGATGCCATGTGCTTGGTATTCTGTGTAATTTTAGAATATTCTTAATGAATTTGGTTTAAAAAATGTTTTTATTATTCTACATAGGTACCTACACTAAGCGATGTTTTTTTATTTTTTGTAGGGCGAAGCGAGGCAAATAGTTGGAATATGTATAAAATGACAATTTTGTTATTCAACAGAATGATAATAGTACCTATATAACATTGACATATTAACTATGAGTATTTTTTTTTTTTTTTTTTTTTTTTTATTGAATATATACAATCTGTAAATTAAAAGTTTAGGTCACGGCACCATCTTCTCTTAAGCCTTCTTTGGGGATTCCCGGGTATTGTTTGNTTTGTAAATTAAAAAAAAGTTGAGCTTAAATTCTTACAAATTATTATTTTTTTTTTTTTTTGTTTTTTTATTGAATATATACAATCTGTAAATTAAAAGTTTAGGTCACGGCACCATCTTCTCTTAAGCCTTCTTTGGGGATTCCCGGGTATTGTTTGTGAGTTTAGTGCTGAGATTAGCGGGTTGGGGTGGTTTTCTAGTCGTAACCTATAACGTTTGTGTATAGTTGATGCCATTTCTGAGACAGTTTTAATGTTTAGGTCTGTGTGGAGTGTGTGGTTGGATACGTAAAAGGGGGCCCTAGTTATCATGCGTAAGGTGATCGATTGAAATCTTTGTATCATGTTTAAATTTGATAATTTAGCCGCACCCCACAGTTGTACGCCATAAGTCCATATCGGCATGAGAAGTTGTTTATAAATAAGTAGTTTGGAATTGAGTCTGAGTTTGGAGTGATTACCTATCAAATAGTGTAGTGATTTCCTTCTGAGTTTAAGAGTATTACGTTTGATTTTAATATGTTCTGTCCAGGTGAGTCGCTTGTCTAGGGTTAGACCTAGGTAACGGATGTTGGAACTATGAGTATAATAAATTATTTATCAATCGACACTTTTAATTAGCATATAGGTATTCATTGATTGATATAGGTTTATTTAGGTAAATACCCATATTGGCTATATTATATATTAGCCTAACATATCCTTAGTCAATCACATTATGTAGTAAGAACTCATCAAGTATAAAAATACAAAATAGCCATGTTTGATTATTTTATAGATTTGTTTTGAGTCAACAATCTCCTAGGTCGTTATGATGCAGCAGGGCACGTACAACATAAACTCATTAGTCATTATGAAATAACAGTAAAATGTACATAACTTTGATTATTCTATGTATTATAGCTGGGTAGGTAGTTCTAAACTTGAGTTTGATAGTAGCAGGTCAGGTCTCTCTAATAATAAGACTATAATCACACATGACTGTAAGTTCTGCTGATCGAAAATTCTCGCCTGTTAGACAGTGTGAGAAAAAATAGTACGCTGACATCATCTTAAGGCAAAAACCACTCACTTTTGTCGCTTAGCAGTGGTTCGGGCGGCGATGATTCGACGCCTTTGCAGAACGACATAAAGTCGGGACAACAGTCATCGGACCCGGTACGGTTAAAGTAACAGAAATCGTCGCAGTAGCACATCGTGCCCAATATCGGAGCAGAGCAACCCTCGTCCCGCCTCTCGGTGCAGCATCCAACTTTCGCGCAGTAATCTCCGGCCAAGTCGTCGGCGATGCCTTCGTCGGCTGCCACGATGTTCATGGAGCACGCCAACGTGACCATCGCTGCAGCTGCGGCAACCACGGTCAGCTGGCGGCAGTTCCGGTGCCTCGCCTTCGTCTGACAAATACAAAACTATATTTTAAAGTTTTTGAAACGACAGCGGACAGATAGATATTTCGATTCTATACATTTTTTCCACTGATAAAATTAAAAACTACCCGCCCAAACTATGGAGGGACTACGCTCAATTTACGGTTTACAAAAGTTATTTATTCAAATTTATGTGGGATAATATTTTAATGTTCAGTACAACGGGTAAAAGAAACCAAAAATGTTATAATATAAAACTAAAAAATTAACAATGCAGTGCAAATCACCGAACTTCCAATAAAAAAAAAAAACATTTCTATTTGAATTCATTCGAATAATTCGTTAATATAACTAAAAAAATATTTTTACTCCGCGGTTTTCGGGGCGATGCATTTACATGCAGTTACACTTGTGTTGCAACTTCTGAATTAAATAATTAATGTCAAATTTTTATCATGATATTATACAACGCTACTTACATTATACTCAAAGAGAAATGTCCATCGGCTCCACATGCTGCAGCTGATTTAGAGATCAATAAAATGTTTATTTTTAAATAATACTATAAACGAGTATATATCCCCTGAATCATGTACAAAATTATATTTCGTTGAACGTGATATTGCATAACGTCCGTCGAAAAATCAATAATTATAAGTTCTACTCGTTATCACAGCGTTGGGTTAACACTTACTGACATCAACGATACACCTGTACTGAACGTTTCAACGTTATACCTGTAGCTGTATATCGATAGATTACATCACACAACCATATTTTAATATTCAACGTATTTGTTTTGAAATTATTCGAAGAAAAGAATATGATACCTAGTATTTTTTATATTATGCTAATAAAACAGGTAATAAAAATCTGACACTGGAAATTAATAACATACCTAATGCTCGTTATAGGTACGGTAGGTAGGTATAGTATCTCCATCTGGTCTCGTAATAGGTACGTCCAATTACAAGAATTTGATTTGTTTTAAAATAGTGTTTTTTTTTGCTTATTTTATTATTATTTCATATTTATATGAAATAAATCAATAGTATTTTTGGCTACAATCCAGTAAGGATTTTTAACATAATTTTACCATATATTTTATCCATTGAATAATAATAGGTATTAGGTATAATAAATGTATTAATATTCTAAGAGTACAACGATAATAATCACAATATTTTTTAGATTGTACTGTAATGCCATTACAGTAATGAAACAACGTTATAAGTATATAACACATTAATACCTTGTTTGGTAACCAGGAGGTACTTATATAATTAATATTTAGTTAATATTTTAATGATTAGTATAATAAATTATAGCAATATTTAAAAAAAGGCATTTATTGAGCTTTATAGAAGATTTTGAGTGGACTTAATCATTGAGTTCTTTGCTGGAATAGCCTTTTTTCGAGGGGAACTTTCCCGTTTGGTAATACTACCCTCGAGAGCCTAGAGCTGTATATTAACACATTTTTTACATGTACACTGGGAAGTGGTAATCCCCCACTCACTAACCCTTACAATATTAAATGTTACACAGGGTATGAATGGCTCTACCCCTTCTAATCTGCCCTTCGGGCCACAACATATACTTATCTATAAAACACTAAGTATCATACTATCAAGTTCTAGCTCCTTCGCCTCTTCTTGAGCGTTCGGCATATTCCTTCTTCAACATAACAGTAAACGCAAATTTACATACCGTGTCCCAGCATTCTTTAGATGTCAGCATCTTCTCCACAATGGATAACCGGTCAAATGTGCCGAGGACACGCGTCGCCTCGATCCTTTCCTCTGCCCACGAGGTGCATGCAAATAGCGTGTATCGTGCATCGTCAACCGCGGCACCGCAATGATGGCATTCCAGGGTTGCTTCTCTTCCTATTTTATTTAAGAAAGCCCTAAAGCATCCGTGGCCGCTTAGCACCTGTGTGAGATGGATGTCACACTGCCATGTCCCCGCTTGCACCACGCTAGCACGTCTCTCACTAGCAGTCTGGTCCATTCACCGGTCTCCGTCACTGCCAACCTCCGACCCCATTTATCAAGGGGTTCCCCGCGTAGAGCTGCTCGGAACGTAGCCACGGATATCGAGTTCTGTCTTGGACCCGCATTTTCTCCGGTGTCCGGTGACCGTGTACGGAGGAACATTGCTTCTCTTTCCAGTCAAGTCAGGTCAAGCTGGAGGGGTGGAAGCCAGAATACCTGTTGCTACCTCCGACACAGTTCTGTAACCGCAGATACTGCGTAAGAGCACCTTTCTTTGAGTTTTGTTCAGCTGACGGACGTTCTCCGGCACTACTTCTAATGTATCTGCCCACGAAGGTGCACCGTACAACAGCACGGAGTGTATAACTGATGCTAAGAGGCGTCATCTGCTCTCCCGCGGACCACCGACATTAGACATAATCCTACACAGCTGGGCACATATCCTCTCTGCCTTTCCCGCCGCATTTTTCAAGTGTGCCTTGAATAGGCATGACTTATCGACCGTCACACCAAGGTATTTTATTTCGTCTCTGATGGAGATTGGCACATTGTCGGTGATCAGGTTTGAGCGGTCGTACTTGTACTTTCGCGTAAATAGCATGGCTTATGTTTTGCCCTGGGAGAACACGAGGGTATCGTCGGCGAAACCAATGACCTCCACGCCTGACGCGAGAGCTGTTCTCAGCACGTTATCATATATTCATATGTTATGTTCCATAAAAGTGGCCCGATGACGGATCCCTGACAAACACCTCCACTGATAGGAACTTCCAACAACCCCGAAGGATCCTGTGGGGTCTCGATGAAGGCCTTGTGTCCGTAAAATTAGGACCTGCATGTACGCATAAGGTATCCTGGGACTTCCAACAATTTCAGCGCTCTCAGGATGTGTTTCCACTCAATCGAGTTGAAGGCGTTTTTGATGTCCAATGCTGCAGCAACTCCGAACCCTACGTTCATGGATCCTACAACTTTTTCTTGTAGCTCTCTAACAGCGTCGTCGGTGGAACGGCCCTTGCAAAAGCTGAACTGGTTAGTGGCCAGTCCGCCTCTGCTCGTAATGTGCGCACTTAGTCTTGTGACTAGTAGGAATTCGAAAATTTTTCCAATGTCGTTCAGGAGGTAGAGTGGGCGGTAAGACGACGGCTCACTCTCCGGTTTGTTGTTTTTGTGGAGCAGCACCACTCTTGCCTCCTTCCTTGCTGGAATAGCCTATACTATGGTAATCTATAATATTGATAATTCAATTGAAGTATTTACACCAAATACAATTCTAAAAACTTACTTCAGCTGAGTACTGCATAGTAGGTATTGTATACACAATACACCTCATCATCGAGTAAAACTACGAGTATTATATTGAGTAATTGTATAATGATTAATGGATGTATTAAATTTAAATTCAATGATCAATAAATTAACATATAGATACAAAAAACAAATCTGAATAAAGTCTATTAAGAGTTTTTACTTTAAACCTCAAACTAGATATATAAAATTATAAACTATGTAGGTGTGTAGGAGACATTGACCACATAAATTCTGTTATAAAGATTACATTTTAACACAGAACCAAAATATAGATAAACAAAACTATAACACAAAAAACATGTAAAATATAAAAACTATGTAGAATTGTAAAGGTATTCAGTGATTATTACAAATTTAAAATCAAGACATTTAAATTTCAATGTACACAGTAGCAATAGTAAAATTAAATTGTAAAATAACAGGAATCTTAAATTCCAAGTTGTTTCTCATTCAACGTTAGCCAGTCTTTATATTTTGATAACAGTATATCATCGGGTTGCACTTTTCTCCATTCATTAACACAAAAGAGTCTGTATGAATCATTACCATACTTGCCAATTCCATACAACTCTATCGGGTACTTCCAATTTTTGATTAAGAAATCCTCTGAAGATAAAATATTTGCGTTTAGTGAAGCTAACAAAAAAAATATATTTTTAATTTAAAACTATAATAACCTGTAAATCTTTTAATAGTTTTTACACGCGTATTTTCTAATCCCAAATTCTCTACTGAACAAAGTAAATCTTGAGGATCTGCTTTAGTCACATCTTCTGGTGTTGGCCATCTCTGTAGAAATGTGTGAATTTTCGGAATAGCAAGTTTTGCTGAAAATATTTTTTTTTTAAAGTTTTTATTTAAATAATATAAAGAAAAGTATTGTAAAAGAAAACTAATGTCAAGGGTTCAAGATTTTCATGACTATTGATTAATAAATACTTAACACTATCATGGAAAATACTAGGATATTAGTTTAAATTTTTAGTTTCGGGATAAAAACAGCAAGATAAAAATATAAAATTAAATAAAAATACTTGGAAATCTAGTTAACTATGCTGGATTTTGGATAGGTTTAAATTGGATCTTGAATAAAAACATAACTCAAAGAGTCATAAATAGTATACCTATATATTACAAATTTCTTTGTCTAATTTAAAATAATTAATTATTTACCAGTTACTTTGGTTAAAAATATAGTAGCAATCAACAGTTGCCATGGATTATGAAACAAGTCTTCCTGTATAAGAGCATAAGGAGATCTAGGAGGAATCCATTGACTTCCACATGTCGATTCAAAATAGTGACTGGTTTGGATAACATTTTGATTTTTTATAAGATTCTTGTAAACTAACCCGGGCCGCTTGCAATAACTTGTCTTGCGTCCACTTTTCTTTGAACATGGTGACAAACACTTTAACTTGGAAGATTTATCTGTACTGTTAAGTCTTTCATGATCTGTTTCCATATCTACAGATAAAAATGAAATTCTTATAATAGGTATTTAAATCAAGTGGATTGAAAAACTATTACCAACAATTAACCTACCTATAACTTATGAAAGCAAAAATGTATAGGCTAAAGAACTACCTAAAATATATTAGAATATAGTACTTACTGAGTAATCATAGTCAATTGAAAATTCGGCTCATGGGTGTTATAACCATGTAGCAGTTTTAGAAATCATCTATAAGAGAGTTTCAAGATAATAAGACCATATATCTAAAGAAAAGACAAAACTATAATAATTATAATAATATATAAAAATTATAATAAGTTGTTCCTATTTACATTGAGCACTTACAGAACAACTAATAATTAGGGATGAAACTATTTACAATATTATGTTTCACAACTCAAAATTAGTTCCAATACCACTAAATTAAGAACACTTTGTCCGGGAAGGTTCAAGGAACCAAGAACATAATATATGCACCAGCCAACAATATTATTATATTATTATTACATCTCAAAGTTTGAAAACTAAAAAAATATATATACCAATACCAGTAAGGCAATATTATATATTAACTATTAAGTATTTTAGCAATTTAGTTTACAATATTTTATAAGGTATATGCATTGATAGCGTAATCACTATAATCACAGTTATCACGCCAATATGAAAAAGTGGGAGATATGAGCACACCTGTAAAGTATCTATCTATAAAAGTTGAACATTTTATACATTTTAAAGTACAAAATAATAAAATTTGTACATTTTTAATTTAATCAATGTTGTCAACATTTGAACTTTAAATGCTTATAAAAAAATCGTGCCTATGAATTTTCAATATATTTCAACTACTAATATAACAATATAACAGGAGCCTTGTATTAAATTTTTAAGCTTTTTGACCCAACGAACAAAATGTTATTGATATTTATAGAAAAAAAAACTAAAAAAATTGAAAATTGAAAATTTCAGTAAACAGCTCAATACGAATCAAAATATTTTGAACATTTTATGAAGTAGAGAAAAAAATAAATAAGCAATACAATGGTGTACATTTTAATTATTTACGGTTATTGGTTTTTTAATTATAACAACAATAAAAGAAAATCGTTCCATGAGAAATGAAATGAATATCCAATGTTGTAAAAATTTGAAACTTAAACGCTCAAAAAAAATTTAACCTGACCTTCCGACGGACTTTTTTTGAGAAAGGTAGGCAAGATGATTAATCTTATTTTAAATTTTCAAATTTTAGATATAAAAAGAAAATTTTTTATGAATTTCTAACTCAAAATAATTTACAAATTTAAGTCATTTTTACGAATTTCGTCAAAATTCTAACTTCAGACGCTTATGAAAAATTATAGGATTTAAAGGCTCAACTTTTTTTTTAATTTCCACTAACAACAACTTACGAAGAACCTTGTATTACAATTTCAAGTTTTTTGACGGACCGAAATTTTTTTCATCGATATTAATTTTAAAAACTTATAATAAGAATAACCAAAAACTGCACATGCCTATAAATAGCTCAATATGAGTCAAAATATTTTGATAAATTGTGTGGCGTGTAGAAAATGCTTGTAAACACATTCAGAGAAAATTTCATGTATGTACACATCCTACAGTAATTTTTCTTAAAGTTACACCAAAAATCAAAATTAATTTTTTCAAAAACCGATTTTGCGTGAAAATTCCAGTTTTCTTGTTTTTTCCTAAGCTTTTGAAAACTAAGTACTGAGAATTTTAAATTGTTACCTCCTGGATGCAAAAACTAGATTCACTTTACCACTGGTAAAAATACTGAAGTTGAAAATCGCAGCATTATTTCGACTACTTATCGTGTACTGTGTACACAGTCACACAGGCACAAAAAAAATACATCTTTGTAAAATCAATAGGTACATTCATCGCTCCGCTCGGAATCTAAAATGAGCACCAAGTGGCTTAAGTATATATTATTAAAATTGTACGAGTACAAGATTTTTTAAATCAAATGAGGGGGGGGAGGACAATAGGACGAACAATTTAGAACAATATGAAAAGCGAAAAAATACTAGTGTCACGGGACCAAGCCGGCCGAAGGAACGATGGTTGATATGCGATGTTCTGCGTGTTGACGACTCTGACGATGGACGGCGAAGACCAATAGACATGGAGTGAGTGAAACGAGCTTTGGGGCCGCGGAATCGGCGGCGACTGAGGACAATCGACTCGGCCGATTTGGGATTACGGCAAGGTAAAAAGAAACTTTTTTTTTAATTTTCACCCTGGTCACCGGCGTTGTCCAATCGGCAGCGTCTTCGTCCAATGATCACCGCCACAGGGTCAAGGGCCATCGGAAACTGAAATGGTTGAGCGACTGAGGGTCGGGGCGTCACCGACGTCCGTGTTTCTAGCACATAAAACAGAGTAGAATAATATAACGTCTTTACTACTCACACCGTGCCAAAGTCTCAGCCGCTTCCGTCGTAACGAGTCGTCATCGTTGGTACCGTCGATGTAAATCGTTGCAATAAATTTTTCTCTGTCGTTGGTATTGAGTGAATAATGTAATTTCTGCACTTGAAATTGATTATGAACTAAATTCACTTACTTCCCGGCACGGTGACCGATAAATTTCAAAAATCGCCCAGACGATGGATACGATGTCGTTTCTTACTAGTCAGCGAGCACGTTCTTTTCGGGCTGCAGCTTTTAGTCAATAGCATTGTTTAGCTAGGAATTCAGGAGCGTTTATTTTTTCAAACAATTATATGATTATAATTATTATTTTTTTTTGGGGGGNAAGTGGCCGAGTCGACCAAAGCATCGGTTGCGACGCGCACCGTCCCCGGTTCAAATCTTGGTCACGAGCGGCATCTTATTACTAATCATCAGTGCACAATAACAATTTTCTGTTATTGCATGTGAAAGAACTTAGATCAATCTATAAAATTTATAAATAAATAATATTTAAATATTTAATACTCAAAATAAAAACAAATATACTATATCTGATACATGATTTGGTAATTAAAACAAATATTCTTTTAAGCGGTGGTAATAATAATGTACAAATATAATAAAAAAATAATCTATTCAACACAATATATAATATGGTTAACTTAAAATATGAAATAAATACATTCATCCAATGTTCAAACAAAAGAAATGAATAGAAGAATATCCTCAATGTCAGTTTAAATTTTCACAGGTTTGGCTACTGGTTACGTATTTTTGCCTCCATTTCCTATAACATTATAAAATTCAAGTTATCTAATAAAACCAACAAAAAAAAGAAGGTATTGAGATATCAAGTACAGACCAACAACATGACAAACTTCAACATTAGCACCAAACTCCATAAGCTTAAGTAACCAAGAATATTGCCTTTCTGATAATTTATCATTTGGCCCTTTTACTTCAACAAATATGCACTAATGACAAAATTAACTGTAAATGGTTAAGTTTATTAAAACCAACAGGGCTCAAATTCTATAGCATTTGTTATAATAAAATATGTTTAAATCAGAATAAGCTATAAATTGGTTTTATGTATTAAAGATTAAAAGTATATGTTTGTTACTTATGTTACATACTTTTTACATTTTTAATACTATTTCTCAAGTTTTGATATTAATAATATTGTTAGTTAATATTTAAAATCTGATTTATTTAATGTCTTCCATAACTCAAAATTTAATAAGGGATTTTACAAAGAAAAAAAAAGTGTTTTTTTGTTATTCAGATAATTTTGAATAGAATTACTTTGAAGACTACCTTAATTCAAGATCATAAAATCATAAAATCATTCATTCATTTTTTTATAACAATTTAAACTTAACCTTGAATAACAAACATGTTTAGTAGGTCCCGTTATCTTCTTGAAGAATAAAATGAATACTTATATTATACGGTCGAGTCGCTATAACTCATAGTTCAAAGTTTATTCTTGCGTCTTGAATTAGTTATAAGCACTAAGCGGGTCTCATAAGTTAATTCATTTGCATATCAAACTTTCTAATTCTTACTTATTGCTAGGTGAAATATAAATCTATTTAAATACGCCACAATAAAGTATAAGAAATTATATTTTGCAAATTTGGAGGTTTTTACTTATTCGGCATAATTTTGCAAAATATACAATATTTTATAGGCATATCATTGATATTTTTGATATTTTATAGCAGTTCAAATTATAAGCTATATTTGAAGTATATAACTAAAAAAAAAGCTAAAATTGAATTTATTCGAGTTTTTATTCAAATTGAGATTTGATTTATCAAGACACGACTGTATTTTTAAGCGTAATAACTAATAAGTAATAATTAATAATAATAAATTTATAAAAAAAAATGATATAAGCTATTAATGGCTTATAATAAGCATGTAGCAAATATTTCAAGAATTGTTGTGTTATAACTTATATAAAGTAACTTTTAATGCTATAAAAACTGAGACCTGCTTCTTAATAATTGTCATTTGTATTTAATAACATTTTACCTTATGCCTAGAAACATCCCAAACAACAAGGTCTGGCATACCGTGCAAATAAATTCTGCCATCTTTCAATATTTGATCACCAATTGCAAGGAACACTTCTATTCCAACACACTCTAGCAATGTCTACAATCCATAATGTTAAATAAGACTCACAAAAAATTGAATTTTAGGTTGAATACACTTAAACACATTATAAAAGTGCAAGCTTACATGGCACAAATCTAAGTTATCAACATTCATATATTTCCAATTTACTACAGATTGAGTATCATAGTATTCATCGCAGCACTTTTTCAACATATCACATATTTGATCAACATTCATTTGTTTCAGTTCTGCCATTCTATCCTAAAATCATTTTTTTTTCACTTTTATAAATAGTTTTTTTTTAATGTATCAAATCCAAATAACTGCTTTTAATTTACTTTAATTTTTTGTTCCCTTATTTCATAGAAATGACGAGTTCTCCAATCCAATGGGCAATCTTGATAAGGGCTGATAAAAAGAACATGGGGTGTATAACTACCGTATATTATTTCCCAAAAACATAATAAGAACATTGACTTTATAAGCTGACCCTCATCGTGCAATCCTATAAATATAAATATGTTATGTGATAAATGTTACATTCAATATAACATATGGAACATAAATATTAAATATATAATTACTGTAAATAATTGAATAATTACCATTTATAAATCCTTGACTTTTATAGTGTGATAAGGCTAGTTCTTCAACAGACATGTAATGTAAGTCACCATTCTCAGTCTTCTTCGAATAAACTTGCTTACGGCCAGATGAACCTCTAAGCCAAAATATTATAATTAATTAATAAAGTGGGCTAATTAAAAAGATTATTACCTAGGACCCCGAGTAGGCTTTTATTGATATTATTATGTTTAAGTTATGACCTTTTTGAAACTGTACATTTTAAAATGATTATAACTTACTTAAAAATATAAATATAAATAAGAGCCTACTTGAGGCCCTAGATATTAATCTAGCCTTTAAATTTTATAGTAGATCAATTCAATCTAATGTCAAAACTAACAGCACACCATTGATAAAGGTCAACAAAAATTTGCTAGGTCGTAAGTGTGAGTCAAGGCAACACATACAAGTATCACGTTCTCTTAAAAAGATTTTTCCAATTAAATTAATTCATATATTTGCATTACAGTTATAAAAAAAATCATAGATGTAAGGTGCAGTACTTAAATCATTGTCTATCCACAACCATTAATTGCAAATAGCTACATTATAATCTAATTATTAGCATAAAATCCATTTCCTACATTATTTATTTACAAAAATACCATGTTTAATTATCAATAAACATTTTTAAATGTATATTTTCAATTTGAAATGATATAGAGTTAGCGAATATAAAAATAAAAGTGTATAAAAGTTCAGTTTTTGATTAATGGTATCAAAATATTCATAGTTAAAATACAAAACTAGTTAGTTAACTTGCTCAAATATTATTTTTAAATAATGCAAATAATAATATGATGTATATGATATAACAGTATGATGTTTATGTTGTACGAATTATACATTTCCATATTTGTCTTATAACTCTTACTGAGATAAAATTAGTAGTTATTTTTAAAATAAGTAATAAATGTTTACTAACTTCTCCTTAACAGAAATTATTTGTCCACTTATTGTTGTGGTAGGTGGTTGTTTTCCTGCCTCTGAAGTAACACTCAACAATTCATTTTTTAATTCACTATTCAACTTCCTGATTTTTCGATTTGCATACATCAATGCTCTCTTTGACAACATTTGACGACCCAATTCAGTCATACTATCATCCTTGAGGCCATCAAGTATAACTTTTGCAGCCTATATTTTAAATTTAAAAATACAGATTTTTAGACTGAGCAAAAAGTGATAAACATAATGGTTTTATAAATTTTTTTTTCTTTGAATACAATTTAGTATAGAAAGAAATTAAGTATCCCAGAAACTTCAAGTATCAATACATACAAATTTGAATTTAAGTAAATGTAGTGCACACAAAAATAAATATTATATACATTTCACAAGAATTATTCTGCCACAATGATTTTTTCTGATACTGATCTACTATAAGCTTACAAAAAATAAACGACATAGTTAACTTTATAATATTGTATTGTAATATATTATGAATGAATTTGTATATAAAATTAAAAATTAAGTTTAAGAACAATTTTTTATACTTGGTAATATTATGAAAAAAAAAATGTTTTTATAATTATAATTAAAAGTTGTTCAAACAACTTATCCTTAGAAATTCGGCCAAAAAGTATAAGTGATATCTCTTAATCTCTTATTTGAATGATCCTACTACAACACAAGATAATTTTTAGTATTTAATAGCAGGGATATAATTATTTTGTAAATTTATATAGAACAGTATTGTTTTTGAAATACCATAATTTATCATAGTTAAACTCCATAACCCTACATTGAGATAATTAAGCAAAAGATCAAAATTAATACTCAAAAGAGAGCTCTTAAAAAGTATTTTTATATTCTGAGTAGCATTTATAGTTTCAATAACATTAATATACTTACAAGATCTAATTGTTTATATTGTGATTCAAAAACTTTGGCTAATTCAATATGTAAATCAGCTCGCTTAGATATTGAAAATTCTTTATGTTTTAACAAAAATTCCAACACTTCTTTGGTCAAGTCTACATTACTGGTACATTTTTTTAATATTGTTATATTTTTGAACAATGTATGGGCATATACAGAAATTGCTGAGTATTTTCGCAAATAGGTAGGTATTTTTAATAGTGATTCTCTGAATATAGGAAAACAAAAACAAAAATGAATATAAAATATACACATTTTAGAATTTTAGAATCATTTAGTCATGTTTTTATAAATTTAAAAATATACTCACACAATAGATTTATCACACACAGCAGATTTGAAATTTTCAAACATAATACACAAAACTAAAATAGCATTTTCATGATCTTTTTGCTCTAAAAGTAACTGAACTTCATGACGAAGATTTAAAGCAATTTTGTACCTAAAATCAATAATCTTATGTTAAATCTATAGCATTAATAAAACAAATAAATAGTGAATTATTAAATTAGTGGATACTCTATCAATATGTTTAAATACATTTTTTACACTATGTAATCTTTAAAATTACATTATTGTGAATATTGTGATGTTTTTGTAAAATAAAGAATACTAAAAAAATAAAATATTTACTTGATGTATTCATCATAGATTAAAAATCCAAATTTAAATCTAATATCAAGAAATAAATGTATTGATATTTCAATACTACTGTATTGTTCTTATAAGAATATGTAAGACAGGCGAAAGATATTCTATATATTTTAGATATTTGATGTTTGAAATCAGATATTATTAGATCAAGTTCATTGTGCTACTAAAGTTTTACAAATGAAAACATAGACTTCAGAGTTTAGATAAAGCTGCAAATCTAGTTCAGGCATAAAATAATTCACTGCAACAACTTGGTAGTACAGAATTCAAAGAAAAATGTTTAGGCGTTTCTACATTAGTCACTTCTCTGGTATTGACAAACATAAACAAAAATTAAAAAAATTAATAAGATAGGAATTGGACAAAGGAGAAGACGATGAAATATTTCAGAAATCTATAATCCCAACACCTGATGTAACTACCCATAATTGTAGGCTTGTAAAGATTAATAATATAAAATGAAATATGAAATTTACAATTAGCACCCTTCAGTGGGTAGAGCCAAAAGTACATATTTGATATTATAGATTAATTCATCTCTCCCCCTTCTAGATTTGTAGATTTGTACTAACAGGGAGAGTAGTAATGATTCAATTTTTTATGTTGCACCTAGATACCTATTAACAAGTAATAATTAATGATAAGCAACCAAACAAATAAAAACAATTAATGATTGTTTGTTAATAAATAATAGTGATCTCAATAGTATTATTATTATTATTATTATTATTATTATCATTACAAGTGAACAAATAGTTTTAAAAAGTATTTCAAGTAGACAACTACAATTTTGAAATACGCATTTAAAAGACAATAATAATAGGTAATATTAATCACCTAAAAACATAAATGGTCCACAAATATGTTTAGCTCTCTACATTTGAATTAATTTGTTTGACATGTTGGTTAGTACATACATTTTTTTAGTATCTTCAATTGGTAAGCATTTCTACTCTATGAAAAATTATTTGTTATACAATACTTTCACAAAAGTGAAACAATTTTATTTGGTAACCACTTACATTTCAAAGCTATCTTTTGAACTGAAATTAATTGAAACTCGTTTTGCTTCAAAAGTGGGAAATTTTAGTAAATTTTTTTCAACCATAGAAAATCTATTAAAACAATCACGAAATCTGTCCTTTTCATCTCCAATGAAATAAGGGTACGATTCATAAATTAAGCAGCTCATTATATCATCCCTTGATGTATCTGATAGTTTCACGCAGTAGCCAATTATTTTTTTGACTCTACATTAAAAAAATAACAGTCAAAATATATTTATAGTTTAGAAAATCATGCAAAATAATACAATAACTTTAAACTAACCGTTCTTTTAAATTACTCGCGGAATTCCCACAAAATGTTCTTTGATTCTTTACAAGATTAATGAATGATTTTATCATTTCAGGTTTAGTCTGACTCTTGCTGGAACTTAATTTAATTTTGAATGTTTTTTGTAATTCTTTAAGTTCTTGAGATTTTAGAATATTTAATAGGCAGTCGAGCTCACAAAAAATAACATCTGAAAACCAAAAAGTATAGTGACTCATAAATTAATTAAATAAAAAATAATGTGTGTACTGCATACCTGTATTTATTAATTGTTTGGTTGCTAATGATTCTAAAACACCATCAAAATCATTACATAAATTTAACTCTCTATACTTTTGAAGTCCATCGGCTCCACTTAAACGAATCCACCCATGTTTTCTAGATATCAATCTCCCATAAATCTTAAGTTCATCATGAGTTGCACCTTCAATTTTTTTCATTATGTCTTCTTTCCCGAAACAAAATATTTCAGCTTTGAGAACAATGAACTTAATAAATCTGCTGTAGGTATCGCCACCAGAAATATCAACTTTATTTTCTAAGTATTCCATAATTCTTGGACTTGTCAAAGGAGTATTATTTATACTTCCATTTTTACTTGGAGTAACTTGTCCTGCAATATTTAATTCTTTTACTGTTGTTTTATTTGAATATGGACCTTTAACAGCTTTTCTTTTAGGACTTGTTTTTTTCTCGTTAGGAAGGCTTGAGCTAACACCATTTAATTTTGACGGATGACCTTCAATGTTATTAATATTATCATTATTGTTTAAGGTAACTTGTCCCTCAATAACATTTTTCTTTAGTTTGTCATTTTTATGATTTAAACTTTGTTCAGATGTATTTTTTTTTGATGGTTGAATTTGGCCAGGTATTTTATTTTTATAACTTTCTGTATTGTTAATACCAAATTCAGATTTAATACAGTTTTCAACTGTAGGATTCATATTCTCTTCATTGGATTTGTGTTTAGCTTTCAAACAATTATTACCAAAGCCATTTATAATTGAATCTGTTCTGTTTTGTGTAGGTTGGAAATAAGAAGTTATTTTCTTACAATTTGCACTTGCATTTAACATTTTTGATTTTTTGGATGGTGTAGAGTTATTTGAACCACTTCTTTTATTTGAAGAAGATTTGATATTTTTATCTTGTTCAGAAATATTAAATCTTTTAGGATGAACCCTAATACTTGGAGATAATAAAATGTTATTTTTTTCAAGATTTGATTGATCTATTTTAACAGGTGTTGTCTGTTCAGATTGAATAAGTTCATTTTCACCAATTAAAAATGACTGCTGACTAAATGATACAAAATCTAGTTTCCTTCTAGTAGGTGAGCGGCTATTGGATTCATCAAACGCCAAAATCCGGGAGACAGAATTATGTTCTTCACTACTTATCTTCTTAATTCTACTTCTTTTTGGCGTAAATGGTGAAGATGAACCACTGGATGGTAAAATTTGAGACACGGGCCACTTAGATGGAGTTTTAAATGGAGAATCCATACTAGGTATCAAAAAGGTAATTAATTTGCGAGCCGGAAATTGTAATAAAATAAAAACAGAAACAATCAAATAAAATAACACTGGCGTTAATAATAAGTAAGACTTTGGTAGATAAAAAAAATAAAACAATATAATAAACTAATAACTATAGGAATATAAGATATTATAACAAAAACATTATTAAACTATAAGGTACACAAATATCAACAGAACAGCATTCCAGCCTTAAATCATAGAGCTCTGGAACACTATATGAATATAGCTATGATTCCAGCTAAGTGAAAACCGTAAATATTATTGTATAATGTTAAAAATTTAAAATAATATGTATCATTAAACTTAAGACATATTTTATCATTGACACTTGTGAAAACTAGATAAGTAGAAACAGATAAACAATAACAAACAACATCTCCATATCACAGTAGCAAAATTGGCGGGATATATATCTGTGCTCTTTGGATTTATATCATTAAAATGATCTTAGGTTTATAGCAAGGTGGTTTATAACTTGGACCTATTTGGCTACCTATATCTTTAGGTCTGTGGTTTTGGCCTATAGGTGCTGGAGGTATCGAATGTCTCATTGGAACAAGTGTTTTTTTTGCACCCGTGGATCTGTGAGTCGTGACTAGGATGCACGGATATATATTTTGAATAAACACATATTTCACATGAATTTGCAAAATACTTGAATTCCGTGATTCGTCTTATTTTTAAATTTTGTAGCGGTTTTAACAATGACTATAATTAGATTAGATAGATATCACGTATTATACAAGGCCATAACTGGGGGGAGGGTCCAGGGGACCCCCCCCCCGACATTTTTAAAAGTAGAAACATTTTAGCGGTGAATACTGTTTAACTATACTAAAACTATACCTAGAAAAAATGTTAGACCCCCCCCCCCCCGAAATTTTTTTCCAGTTACGGCCTTAAGTCGATACCTTGTACATAATACATAATAATATACTAATTTATTTATAAACGTACCAAAATCCTACATTTCATAAGTTATCAGTTATCACTCATTGCACCTCATAACGTTTATGTATGTGCACAAAATTTCCTATTTCTATTTCTTATTCAGTATTATCCTACTCAATAATAATCATAAATCGCCACATCGGAGTCTCGTATATTAACATCATTGACAATTGACAAATGAGATAGTTAAAATATAACTTATTGTAACAGGCAATAAAAATCAAGTTGGATTTGGCAATATGCAAAAAAGAAAGGGAATATTGCATACTGTCTTTTGTGTGATGAAAATGAAAATAACGAGTTTGTTAGCAATGGGAGGTACCACTGGATCCATTGGGCGACATCTAATGGCGATTCATTCCATGAGTAACGGAGTAAGAGAAAAAAAGAGGTAAATTTATATTATTATTATGCCTAGCCAAATATTACTATGATTTTCTGATTTCTGATTTACAATACTAACAATTTAAAAACTTAAAAATTCATGTGTAAAATAACAATTTCTTATTATCTAATGGTTTTAAGTATAAAATAATTAAATAAAATATCCTAGACTGACAAAATATCGTCATCTCCGTTCAGAATCGTTTTTCGTATATTAGCACCTATCATTGCATTCAAATTTAACACATCCATTAAGTGACCTACTCTGTAACCGAGGTCCTTCACTCCTATTATAACCAGAGCGAGTTCCCGATTTTTTTTTAGTGGCTTTAACTTTTAAGAACAACTAATAGAAACCTTGTATTAAACTTGGTACCTATTTAACAGACACACATCTGCAGACTCAGAAAATGAGATGCTTGAGACTAGAAATGACCTAGAATCTATAGCAGAAAATTTGAATAGCCCAACCAAGAAGTAGTTCTTCAAATATCAATTCTGATTCAACGTTAAATATCAATTTTATTTCAAATTTTCGAATTAGGCGAAAGCTCCAAAAACTTAATAAACAAAATACCACGTCAGATAAATTGCTTAGCTCTGAAAGAACTAAGGAAATTCATAAAGCACTTTCAAAAATGATAGCTATAAACCAGATGTCTCTTTAATTTTACTCAAGTCCGGGTTTTAAATACTTCATGTACGTTGTTGATCCTAATTATAAACTATGTTTTGCAGAAAGTGTAAAAAATCGTTTAAAATTATTAACAAATGACATATTGTTGGTCAACAATTAATTAAGAATGAATTAAATGAAGTAACAAGCGTGTCATGTACAAAAGATTGCTGGACCTCCATATCTCAAGAGTCATTCATAACAATTATCTGCCACACTACCGATCAACATTGGAAACCGAAATCATTTACATTGACAACTCACGAAGTTCATGAGCGACACACAGCCGTGAATTTAGTACATCATATCTTAAAGAAATCACTTATAATAGTATGGGAAATCGAAAAACAATTAGTTTAATTGAAACAGATAATGCAGCAAATGTCATAAACGCTGTGTACAGTTAGAATTAAATGATAATATGGAAAAATCTGAATTAACGTGTGCAGTACGCCGATATTAATAAATTATTATTGTAGTTATTATTAATACTACACTTAGGTATTATTATAATTATTTCTTACCCTTGAGTTTACTTACAGACCACGGACTAAGGTAGTATCTTAATTCTTAATATATCTTAGATATTTTTACCTATTACTATTACCCTCGGACTAAGGAATTTTTATTGACCAAAAAAAGGTTTATAAGTACTATATTTGTCCTTTTAATTTCATCAATAACAACATTTTTTCGCAAAGTATGATAGCTGGTAGATAAAAATAATTTCGGTACCGCGACCGCGGCGGTACTGTGAAAGCGTTAAACGCAAGGTCATCATTTTTACAAAAAAAAAAAAATAATAATAATTTATGTAGTATAAAAAGTTGCGAGTCCTAAGAATAATACTTTTTGAATTTTAACAATGTAGGTGGCTATTAGTTTTTTTTTGTGACTAAATGTGCATATAAAATAAGAAGAAGTTAAGCGCTTATGAAAAGAAATAGTGACTATATGTATTATTTTTTTTGATGTTGGATTAGATATTTAAAACTTCTGAGGACCTTGTATAGGTACCTATCATTTTTAACTATTTTTAGGTAGGTCCTAAGAAAGAAAAACAATTATTACCATACGTAAATAAAAAAAAATAAAATATTTTAAACGCATAGTATAATCAGCACAAAAATAACCAGCTTACCTATTCTAATATCATAATATTGTCCAGAAAATACTAATATAAATATTTGGATCAAAATTCAAGTCTCTTAAGTTATTCATTGTTGAACTGGGTACTACAAAAAACCAAATAGATTTTGTCAAAAATAGGTTTTCCAAAAAATGTCCTGATAGAAAAGTAAATGTAGTTGGTACTTTGGAGGGTTAAAAGTACGAAATTCCCACTACCAAGTTTTAAAAAGCGTCAGGAAAAATAGTAATTTTAATGCAAAACTAGTTTTTGACAAAATCTATTTTGCTTTTTCGGTGTAACTCAAAAACTAATTATTACCATAGAGAGGTAGGTAAGTAGGTACATTAAATTTTTACCAAATGATTGTATGACACCTTTTTTTCCATACGTAATAAAATGTTGACTCTTTGTGGGCTATTTATAAGTATGAGAAATTATCAGTGTTTTTAGTTAAAACTTAAATATTATTTATTCATTTCAAAATAAGGATATTATGAAAGAGATTTAATCCTTTGAATAATAGTTACATAATATACTTTACCTGTATAAGTGTATAACCCAAAACCCTAGATTTATTACGTACTCATTACAATTGTTGAAAATCATAATTACCTATCTATAGCTATGCCACATATAGCGAAATATATTTTTGAAAGATAATATCAATAAATTGACTATAAAATGAAAACTAAGAATTAAAATTGTGTGTTGATAATTGAGTATTATCAGTTATCACTAACCAGTAGGAATGTGTTTTGTATTTAATATTAAACTTATTTTCATTTTCACAAGACAGAAATTCAGCGATGATTTTAAGTAAGGAGAAAGAACTCTTTAGACAAAAGTCGAGCTAATTTCATTATCCCCTGCATAGGTATATAATTTATCTCCAAAATAAATATTAAGTACCAATTCGTTATATTTTATACAATGTACAGCTTTTAAGTATATATGTTATATATTAGTTCTTGTAAAACTAGAATAATACTACCATACCTACGTTAAATCAATAAATATAGTTTCTATGGTTATATAAATTATATTTATTTTTCTTTCAAGTCAGTGTATTTATAATTCTGGTTAGTAGAGTAGTATTATTTAAAACGAAAATATAGTGTTTCAGTTTTAATAATAAATATAATAAATATAATTTTACCCTAATAAATATAATGCCTCCAAAATTAGATCAAACGGCTAAAAAAGCTACAAGACTATCATTAGTAAGATAAACTCGGACTTGTAATTTACATTTTGTGTCTAAATTATTATTTTTTGTGTGAAATAGTCTCAATCGGGGCAGAAAAAACCATTCAATAAAGAACCTTCCAGACGTCAAGTAAAGATAGCTAAACCTGTGGACGATATTAACGGAGTTCAATCCAATGAATCTATTAGGCCGGATGATCAATTAAAATTGACTGAAGAAGTACTAAACTATTCATACTCGAATAATTTTGTTTTATTTTATGAATATTTTTATATTATGTACTTATATCATAATTTCAAACATTATTTTCAAGATAATAATTAAAATATCAGATAATAATTCAGGTAATAATTTACATTCATTAAGACAGGAGGTATATAATTACAATATTACCTACCTTTAAAATTGTATATAAATATAAATATAAAATTTTATAAAAATTAAAAAAGTATTCTCATTACAAAAAACTTCTCACACGACAGCATACGTGTATACCATGACAAAAATTGATCTTTTCAACAATGTGACATTATAAAAAAACACATTTGTGCACACTCTTAACTTAAAAAATTATTATAGTACCTATTTTATTTTGTTAACTATAAGTGAATAAACTTAAATTTTGTTAAAATAAGCAAAACGGCAACTGGAATAGAAGTAGGTACAATAGGTACATACTACATAGGAAACTTTATAATGTATACGTAGTAGCATCGATTGGAAGATTTCATTCCATATTGAATAGTGAATACTACTAACGTCTAACAATAGTCAATAATACATTATGTACATACTTCGTATATTATGTTAATTTGCTCGGATTTTATGTCGAACATATATTTATCTTAATTGTAAAATAATAATTAGGATATAAGTTATAATTAATTTAACTCAAATAATAGGTAATTAATATGTACCAAACCTATTTTACAATTTTAAAACTAGTACTGTTAAATTACAATTAATTTCTACTTAAAA